CCCCAAGCCCCCCCTACCCCCGCCCCAGGGGACTAAGCCTGCAACCCAGGCATGTGTCCTGACCAGAAATCGAACCAGTGACCTCTTGGTGCATGGGACAACGTCCAACCGAGCCACACCACCCAGGGCAATATATAAACCTTTTGAGAGATTACTAATAAACAGATGTAATAGAAAATTGAATTCTTCAGGGAATAAGATTATACTATTGTTAGAAATCTAGTATAACAAATTTGTGGAATATTCGAATAAGTCCTAAAGAATTAACAGTTTCATTTCAACTTTATATTAGCCTCGAAACATTCTCAATTCCTTTGAACTCACGGTAACTGTCAACATTTCATTTATGCATCAGTAGCAAGTTCCCCTATAAGGCTGTTGTAAGATGCTTGTATACTTAAAAGTTAATTGCTATCATTTAGGAGAAAGTTTTTTCTTTTGCTAATACGAATTCCATACATAGAATCTTGTGACATCTTACAGTTGTTTTCATAATAAAGGTTTCAAAATTGGTGTCTACAGTCATCCTTGTAACCCTCATTAATGATTGATACTGATCACTGTAAGTGCTTTTCTAGAGCTTCTTACCAGGCAACAACTCTAATGTTTGGTGTCCGGGGGTACCTGGATGAAAAAGGACTTTATGGACAACTCCTGGTAGCAGTATGTGTGCCATCCCCCCGATGAATAACCACTCACACTGCACTCACACAGGCCAGCTATAAACAGTTGACAGTCACGCACTGAGACGGGGTGCTCTGTTTCTGTTCTAGTGTCAGGACTGGATCCCACTGAGCAGACAGGTCCCAAGTGCCTCCTCTGTGTAAGGCACTGCGCCACATACCCACCCATGGAAGAGGACTCTGAGACTTAAGGAATCTGACAAGGGGGAACCAACAAGAAAATTCATAGCCATGATGCTAAACAAAATGGGGAAAGATGAGATTGGGGCTAAAGGGGAAGACTGGGCCGATATCTCTGCATAGTTTACACAACTGAAATTTTTGGGAGGAATTTATGGGTGAGAGGTGGGAAGGAAAAGAAGTGGTCAGATTGTGCAGAAATTATCGAAACCTTGCTTGTGGAACTGATGATACTCAAGAATAGATGAAGAAAATGATTAGAAAGATTGTTCAGCCCTAAGAGGAATGAAGTACTGATACATACTACAATGCAGATGAACCTCAAAAACCTTTATAAAAGAAGCCAGACCAAACATCACATTGCTCTGAAATATCTAGCACAGGTAAACTCACAGGGAAAAAATGCGGATTGGTGATGGCCAGGAGGTAGGGCAAGGAAGAAATGGGGGGACGATGTATAAAGCATGTGGAGTTTTCTTTTGGGGTGATGAAACTGTTTTGGAACTAGAGGTGGTAGGTGCACAATGCTGTGAATATACTAAATACCACTGAATTATTACTTTTAAAATGGTTAATGCGATGTGAATTTAAGCTCAGTAACAAAAAAATAAAAATTTTTTAATGCACTCCCCCAAAAAAGGTTAGAACGTCACTGTCTGCCATCAGTGCAGCTCCTGGTGGCAGAGGCACTGCAGTGGCAGCAAGCTGCTCCCGTCAAGACGTCAAGACGCCCACACTCTCGGGCCAGTTCAGAGCGGGAAAGACCAGCAGGGGACAGCATTCTGATGCTAAACCTGACCCCAGCTGTAACTGAGCTCATCCTGCAAGCTCACAGTGAGCAAGGTTCTAAAAGCAATGGCAACACAATATTTTAGAAGTAAAAAGTAGGAAATCTGCACATAAATTTACAATGTGACAGCACAATGAAAGTATATAATAAGAACTCAAACTGTTCAAACTCGGGGGTAGAAAGCGGGATTTGGGGAGGGAATCTTTGTAAATCAATTTTCAAGCCTCAAGGAGCTAATCCCTACCATTTACTTAATTCCACGTCTATACTGGTCTCACAAGGAATAATGCCACCTGGAGGAACAAAATACACTTTAAAGACAGAAGGCACAATCTGACTTCTGGATAGTCTGTTTTGATGAATAAAAACTGGCTAAAAAGGCCCCATTATAGTTTCAGGCATTGCTGGATCCCAGTAATCAACAAATGCCACCAGGGCGCCCTCCTGCTCTTCCCCTACCTCTCAGCTATGTCTTCCTCCCTGTGGCTTCATTCTCCTGCAGGCTCCACTTACCCAAATGTGGCAACACAGCCGCTCAAATTTACATTCCTCCAACTCATCACCATGGGCGGACAGCACAGTAACTAAAGATGAACCAGCAGAAACACACTGCGAGCAAGATGGCTTCACTTCTGAAGGACAAGTACCACGTACATCTGGTTTCAAAAGCTTGCTCAGCTGACCCCACAACGCCACACAGGACCAGTCTTACCTGAAGACTTGGATCCAAGAGTGGTTGATCCAAGCCGACGGGTGGTCCCCGTTCCAGCATTTCTCCGCGAGCTTGGTGGAGCTTTGGATGATGTAGAACTAGCAGAGGAAGGTCTATTACCATCCACAGAATCTTCATCATCAAAATTCTTATCTGATGAGTAAGCACAGAAATCACTGTGTTTTTTTTTAAAAAAAAGTACTTTTCACCAAAACTTAAAACCACCAGCCTTAGAGATGAATGGTTTGCCTCATCTTCTGGAATCTGAGGTGCCCATCCACGGTCTTTTCAGGCCTCAGGTAAGTCCAGCACATAGCCACAACCCTCAAGTTCACCTTCACATATCTCCTGCCCATTTTGGAAAATACAAAACACATGAAGAAGAAAACAACCTCTCATAAAGCCACCACCTAGAAACATTTTGGCATATTCCTGACCATTTTGTCATGCAGTTTTAAATAATAGCTGGCATAAGACTATATATCATATATCATTTTGGAATACTGCTTATTTCAAATAAGTCAATGTTTCAACATGACAAAATATTCTACATAAACACCTTTTAATGGTTGCACAGTACTTTTTAACTGGAAAATGCCACAACTGAAACACTTTCATTGTTAGACATTTAGAATAGTTTTAATACTTCATTAGAAATAATATTGAGACAAACACCTTCCTACTTGCATTTTTATTTGAATTTCAAATAATTTTAAGAAAAAAATCCCTAGAAGCAACATTACTGAGTCAAAGAGTATAAATGTTTTTGATGTATACTGCCAAACATATCTTCAGAAAGGTCATATAAATATATTTTTTTCCTGGAAGTTCAAAGAAGTGCCCACCTTGCCACACCCTTGCCAAGGATGATTATCATTTTTAAACTGCAAACAAAATTTGATAGGTGAAAATAATGCCTCTTCGTGAAGCTGAACACTTTTTAAAAAAAAATTTTCTTAAATCCTCACCTGAGGATATTTTTTCCATTGCTTTTCAGAGAGGGGGGGAGAGAGACAGAGACAGGGAGGGAGGGAGAGACATCGATGTGAGAGACACATCGACTGGATGTCTGCTGCATGTGTTGGGGCAAGGGATTGAGCCTGCAATTGAGGTACGTGCCCTTGGCTAGAATCGAATCCAGGACCCTTCAGTCTATGGGCCGATGCTCTAACCACTGAGCTAAACCAGCTGGGGCGAGGCTGAACACTTTTACATAAGTTCCTTAACTTCAAAATTTCCTAAGCAGCAGTGAATCCAATCAATATTCCTCAAGTTTCGTTTGAAATTGAAAAAATAACAACTTATTTGGGCCTTTAAAAAAAAACACAACAACATATTTATAAACAACATTTTGATGACAAAAATTAAATCTATCATGGTGCACTATACAGAGTACCAAAGGCTTATATAGAATGTGACAGTCATTCATATGGCTGAACAAAAAACTTAAGAGTAACTAAAAACAACAAAAAAGAACACTAACATCTGTTACTGGCAATATTCAAGATTTCTGAAAAGGGGTGTTAGATCTTTACCGGTAAGTCTAAAGTAAATAATTGCTGCCCCTAAACAGATATAAACAACCTGTTTTTCTTGATCTGTTGCTTTTTAAGCTAAACTATCAACAGCCAAGTCTTGCCTCAGGACCCTAATGTTTCTTACAACTTACCAACAATCCACTTTGAATTACATGGCTCCTTTTATTCAACATTAAGTGGGGGAAACCCATCCTTACAGATGTATATCCTACAAATCAGCTTCCTTCAAATTTCCCAGATCACCCTATCAAGCCTCTGCTTATGTTGTTTCACAGATGGTTGTTTCAATCCCTAATCAATTTCTTATCGATTCAGATATTCGGTGACCTATTAACATAGACCTCCCATGTGGATTCAAAAGGTGATTCTTCAACTACAAAGCACATTAATAAGGCCCTTGCCAAAAGTAAAATTTAGTCTAATGTAAAGGACAAGAACACCCAAACGAGGGGTCGCCCGCTGAGCACTGATAGCACTGGCAGTGTGACAATGACTCTTCTCAGCTGATCTGTCCTCAGGGGAGCTCCAAGAGCATCTGAACCATTCCAAGGGCACGGTCATTAATTGACCATGTTGAAGAACTTCTGTCATTATTCTTCTCAGAACAGTAATAGTTCCAGTTGGTGGGAAAGGTATGTAATGGAGGAAATGAGGACACTATTATACTTCATTCAAAAACTCATGTAAATTGTGTTTAGTTTTGCCTTTCTAACAAAGGCAGGCATGACATTTAGAACTGCATTCAACCGCCAACAACAAGGCAAACAACTGAATGGGAAATGATATTTACAAACAACAGCTCAGACAAGAATATATAAAGAACTCACACAACTAAAAAACCAACAAACACTCAAATTAAAAAACGGGCAGAGGACCTGAAAGACACCTCTCCCAAGAAGACATACAAATGGCCAGCAGATACACTAAAAGATGTTCTACCTCACTAGCAATTAGGGAAATGCAAATCAAAACTACAAGGAGATACCACCTCACACCTGTTGGAATAGCTATTATCAACAAGACAAGTAATAAAACAAGTATTGGAAGGTTATGGGGTAAAAGGAACCCTCACTCACTGCTGGCGGGAATGTAACTGGTACAGCCATTGTGGAGAACAGTATGGTAGTTCCTCAAAAAATTAAGAATAGAGTTACCACAAAACCCAGTAATCTCTCTTCTGGGTATCTATGTACCCAAAAAACTCAAAAACATTTATTCACAAAGATTTATGCACCCCTATGTTCATTGCAGCATTATTCATGGTGGCCAAGACATGGGGACAACCAAAGTGTCCTTCGAAAGAGGACTGGATAAAGATGATGTGGTACATGTACACAAGGTCATTAAGAAAAGACAAAATACTACCATTTGCAAGTACATAGATGGCTCTGATGAATATTATGCTAAGTGAAATAGTCAGAGAAAGCTAAGAACCATATGATTTCACTCATATATGGGATATAAAACTGAAACTCAAGAGACACAGATAATAGTGTGGTGGCTACCAGAGGGAAGCGGGGGTAGTGAAGGGTAAAGGGAACAAAATATACGGTGATGGAAGATGACTTGACTTTGGGTGGTGGGCACACAGTGCAATATACAGGTCCATGTATCATAGGAATGCACATTTGAGGTGGATTAAAGATAGCAGCAGACTGAGTGGAAGCTTCACTGACACTCTCCCAGGACCAAATTGGAATTACAACTGAAATATAGAAAAACCATCCTCAATAATCAACTGCAACTGCAGAGGAGCTGGAAAGCACCCTCAAAACCAAGGATGTAAAGTGGAGACAACACAGAGATTGGTAGGAAGTGTGGATGTGAGAGGGCTGGCTGGGCTCCCACAGGTAGCAGCTGAAGGTCCGGAGGGATATCTCAGCTGTGGGGGCTCCCATTGAGGACTGTGGAGCCTAAACCCCAGGCTGGCTTCCCAGCCCAGAGCACCAGCACTGAGAAAGATGCCCACAGAACATCTGGCTGTGAAAAGCAGCAGGCTTTCTGCTGACAGTAAGAGAAAGCTGGAACTGCAGGCACCCTCTTAGAGATAATGCACAAAGTTTCCTGTGCAGCCACTCATCTTGGGCTCCAGCAAAGGGAGGGCAGAGTCGACTGGAGCTGTGTGAGGACAGTCTAGGGTTAGGGGCTCTGGAGACAGAGCTCAGAGGGCACCCCTCTGGAATCCTGTTCAGGGCAGAGGACATCTTTCAAAGACAGACATGTACCTTCCAAGCAGCTTTTGCCTAGCAGGGAAGCAATTTTGCCACCCTGCTGGAAAACCTCTCGCCCTACCCTGTACGGCTTCTAAAGCCTGAAGCTCATTAAGAGTCTGATAACAATCAGCCACCAGACCCTGTGGAATTTCTACAGCCTGAGGCTCATTAAGAGAATCAGAATAATCAGCCTGCAGGCAGAGGTGGACCTTAAAGTGCTTTGAGTCTTTGCCTGAACTGCTTCTGGACCCGGGCCTTGGTAAAGCAGACTTTGGTGTGCATCTTGGTCCTGTCCAAATGCACCCACCAACAGAGGGGACCTCAAGCCATGGTTGTTAATAGCTCCAAACAGGGTACTCAAGGCCAGTCACAAACAGCATCTGACATTGGCCTGCACCAGAGACCTTCCAAAAAGACTGAGAGTGCTAGCAGGCCTACCTAATACATAGAAACCAACCCAAATAGGCAGCCAAAATGGGGAGACCAAAAAACAAGCTCCAAATGAAAGAATAAGAGAAGTCTCCAAAAAAAGAGCTAAATGAAATGGAGATAAGCAATCTATCAGATATAGAGTTCAGAATCCTGATTGTAAGGGTGCTCAAAGCATGAAAAAAAATATGGAAACTATGAAAAGTGACCAGTCAGAAATGAAGCATGGCATAGCAGAAATAAAGAATCAACTAGAAGGAATAAAGATCAGATGAAAGGAAGCTGAGAACTGGATCAGCAAATTAGAAGACAGGGAAGAAAAAAATCACTCAGAGATCCAAAAAGAAAAAAACAATTAAAAAACAGGAGGACAGTCTAAGGGAGCTGTGGGACAACATGAAATGTAACAATATTCACATCATAGGAGTAGTAGAAGAGGTCGAAAGTGGGCAAGGGCTAGAGAACCTGTTTGAAGAAATAATAGCAGAAAACTTCCCTAACCTGGTCAAGGAAAGAGTCATACAAGTTCAGGAGGCACAGAGAGGCCCAAGCAAGAAGAATCCAAAGAGGCCCATGCCCAGACACATCATAAATGAAATGCCAAAAATTCAGGACAAAGAGAGAATCATAAAGGCAGCAAGAGAGTAGCAATCTGTGACCTACAAAGGAGCTTGCATAAGGTTGTCAGCTGCGTTCTCATCAGAAACTCTACAGTTCAGACGGAACTGTCATGAAGTATTCCAGGTAATGCAAAACAAGGATCTGAAACCAAGACTACTCTATTCAGCAAGGCTATCATTCAAAATAGATGGTGAAATAAAGAGCTTCCCAGACAAAAACAGGCTAAAGGAGTTTATCACCACCAAACCAACACTGCAGGAAATGTTAAAGGGACTGCTGCAATTAGAAGTAGAAATAGAAGCATTGCAAGAAATGTTAAAGGGATGGCTGTAATAAGAAGAAATAGAGAAAC